CAAATAAAAAACCATAATAACCGACACAATTATAAAAAAAATAAAAACGAGCGCAAAAAAAAAAATCCATCTTAACCCGGCGTTGGCTCTGCGCAGACTGAGCTCTGCAGGGCGGGGGAAGGCTTATAAAGCCTTGCTCCACCCTGCAATTAGGCTCAGAGCACTCTGATTGGTGGGTTTAAGCCATCCAATCAGAGTGCTCTGACAGGTAAATGAAGAGACTGACAGGTAAGTCAGCACTGGTTGGTTTGAAATCCACCAATCAGAGTGCTCTGTGTCATTTTACACAGCGTGGGAAAGTTCTTTGGAATTTCCCTACGTTGTGTAATTTGACTCATAACACTCTGATTGGTGGATTAAGTAACCAATCAGAGTGTTATGAGTCAAATTACACAGGCTGCTCACAGTTTAATAGACTCGCGGTATAGCGAGTAGGGGCAAAATTTACTAATACTAAGTAATTTTTACTTAGTATTAGTAAATTTGGCTGAAAGACCAATTTAGGTCTTTCTGCCTTTTGGTAGATAACTCCCTAATACCATGGGAATTAGGGAGTTATCTACTAAGCAGCTGCAATAGAAGTGCCGAAATTCTAAAATGGCAAAATGCTGAAGTTCTGAAATTCCGAAGTGCCGAAGATGCTGAATTTCCGAAGTGCCGAATTGCCAAAGTCCCGAATTTCGGAATGCCGAGCTGAACTGAAAATTTTCCCATGCACATGCCGAGAGAGGCTTGTGTAATCGTGTGACTTTGACCAGTATGTACATCTAGCATCAACCTACTATTGTGTTTTCAGCTCATATGTCTCAACTACGCTATTTGCATCCAGTGGTTCTCCAGCATCCTGAAAATTCATATTTGATTTACTTTGTTTCCTAAATGGATAACTTGCCTTACTAGTCTTTCATAGCCTGACTTCTATTCACTTAACAGTGTACAAACAGCATTTTTGTTATTCTGTTCTTGTTATCAATCTCTACCCATTGGCACTGTTTGCTAGGTGTGTTTGGGCATCAGGACATAGATTGAGGTTCTATAAGTGCATGCACCCTCCTTTAGATATCTTTTGAGAAAGCTTATATAGCATATGAGTGAGTCTATTTACCTGTGCACCAGAAGTGTATTAGTGTATGCCTTACCACCGTGCTACAATTTCCTATGTAGACCAAGCCTGTTTATTATTTTATTATAATGTAAAAATGTGCAGTTATATCCATGCACATGCACATGAGTCTATTTACCTGTGCACCAGAAGTGTATTAGTGTATGCCTTACCACCGTGCTACAATTTCCTATGTAGACCAAGCCTGTTTATTATTTTATTATAATGTAAAAATGTGCAGTTATATCAAATGCCATAACAATGTTTATTTTGTAAGACTTGCATTAGCTATCGTGGCAATGTGAGCTTGTAATATCTTGCAATACAAAATAAAGTTGTTGGTTTTTTTTAAATCACTTCCCCTGCCTGCGATTGACACAGCCTACATAAAACAAAATGGTTTTATATTCAATCAGATGTAATTTACTTTCAAAGTTTTTCTCCTGCTCAGTAATTTGAACTTTAATTACATACAGGAGGCTCCTGCCGGCTATTAGCAGAGCAGGAGATAAGCAATTCTGTATTAAACAGAATTTTGCATAAAGGAAGTGTAAACATTAGATGGCTTATAGGAAGTGTTTAGGCACATGCAAGGAGGTATGCGTAGAGCTGCACAAACAAAGTGATTAACCTCCTAAATGGCAGAGAATTGAGCAGTGAAACTCCCAAGGCATGAACTATACACAAATACTGTTTCATTAAGCTAAAGTTGTTTTGGTGACTATAGTGTCCCTTTAAGTAAACATTTACTTAATCTCACAAAAATAAGGTAAATTATTGTATAAAATCAATACACTTTTAGGAAATGGTAGATAAAAGATATGGTGATGGAAGAACAGGTGAAAAGAAATTGTTTGATGGGGGATAGAAAACCCATATGAAGGAAATAATAAAGCAAAGGTATAGCAGGTTCCGTTGGAAAAATAAAGCCTGCACTAGCACATGGATTAATAATAGAGAGAGGAACAAAAAACATGCTGTGTCAGAATAACCTGATCATCTTGCCCTGCACAGAAAGGTATGGATGGAATTTCTAAAACCTGTTGCCCATGAAGACTGTTTGCGAGTTTTTCCAGATCCTGTGTGTGGGAAGCAGCTTCACCATGTAATGGTTGTAAACGGCTCCATTCTATATATCCTGTCTGTCCCCTACCTAGATGGTGCTTGTTCTCTCATAGCAGAATACAATTCATTTAAAACAGTCTGTTGGCTCTTGAGCTAGAAGGTGATATGTGACTGTTCAATAAAATAAAATAAAAACCCATTCAGTGAAAGGTTGGTGGATACATGGAGTATTGTTCCATGGGGAAAGGTGGGAGTAAATGTAATAAGGGGATTTAAGCCTGTAGAAGATATGTTTTGGCCTATTCCGGATATTTGTAAAGGTTGAGGACTTAATCCATTTTATACACTAAATAAAATAGAATGTTGGGAGGTATGCCATTGTATTTTCTTGTTACATATTTTTTATTTTATCTTACCCTGCATCTGAACTGTCATCTATTTGGATGCCCACATAATACAATCAGATTGTACTCAATATTTGGCAAGTCCTAAAATGTTAGTTGTGTGTGAAGACCAAATGCTTGTATTATTATTACTATTATGATATTTATATAGCACCATCAAATTCCACAGCGCTTTACAATACATCTGACTTCCCATGGAATACATTGTATATAGTATACTTTCTGTTTCCTAGTTCCCTTTTGAGATACACTGTCCTTCTTTGTTCCATTTGTTCTTCTCTAGGGTTTACCCGCCCCATAATTAGTATATCCTCTTACTGTCAGACTCTTTTTCTTTCCCTTTTTACTGTGTGGAAAGCTGGTGCAATTTGTATTGTGCCAGCCCAAAGAACATGTTCCAGTGAAATTCAACCCTCCCCACCGAACAATATGGAGCAAATCACTATAGTGATAGGCAAGTGTATGCAGAGACACAGTGACAACAGATCAAAGAGTAATGAGCAACTTGTTATGGTGGTTGGAGTGTACTTTTGATTAAAGGAACACTCTAAGCACCAAAACAAATACCTCATAATGTAGTGTTTTTGGTCCAAGACCCTGTCCTTACACTGTTGGAAATGTATAAATGTCTGTTTATGAGATATGCTTACATTTGTCTGTCAAAATGTCTCTGGTGGCTGTCAATAGACAGCTACTATAGGCCCTTCATCTTGACTGTTAAAAATTAATGCTGCCAAATTGTATAGATACTTTTCATAGAGAAAAATCCAGTTGGCAGAGCACAGCGAATGCTGCAAATGCAACATTGGGCCTTCTCTTTTAGAAGCATTGGATTTGCTTGAGCTCATCAGTATTGAACCTTTGCCGCGTCGTTACCAGAACAGCGCTGCATGAAAGGAAAGATTACCTTTTTTTGTTGTTTTTTTTTTTTTTTACTTAAATGGAGAGGGGTGGGGGGAGTCAAAATCTGATGAAGGACAGAAAATGTTAACATTTCAAATAAATACATTTATTTATAACAGATTATTCATTTGGGTAATATTTTTAACTGTGCTATTGTTTCTGGCTTTTGCAGAGGACTGCGTGGCCAGGTACGCTCTCACATAAAGCATGCAGCTAAATCCTTGTAAACAAACCAAATGGAATTTAGCTCTGGGCATGCATTCATTACAGCAGCAAATATTTGGATTTCAGGAGTTCATTTCCCAAACAATAGTTCTACTACTGTTGCAATTCAGCATGTTATAGCACAGTTATTTCTACTGTATTGTTCCTATTGTCTAGATAGTTTCTTCCATTCTAGAGATGGAAGCATAGCCTGATTTTATTACAGGACACGGAGGCGAGTATTAGGCTTATCTCTTTCTTTTATTCCTCAGCAGCAAAGAAAGCTAAGGTATTCATAATATAGAAAAAAATGAACAAATACCCTCACAGGGTTAACCATTACATCACTATCCCTTAGCCAATGGGAACAGTCCACATATCATATAGTCCCATGTGACCCCCATCTCTTCCTCTTTCTTTGCTGCTGCCTCAGCTAAGTACCACCATTTTATTTTCACTCTGACACTGTCTGTATTTATATCTGTATTTTTATATAGTACTGTACTGCTTACTGTATATAAAGTTTTTGCTTTATAACTGTGTAAGATCTTACTGTTAAATTTGTTTGTACTGGCCCCTTCATGGGAGCCACTTAGGGGTGAGCTGCTTCAGGCTGCCGCCCACCTTTCTGTTTTCCCGCCCGCCAGGGCGGTTAACCCATTCTCCCCTTGCACTTCGGGTAGTTTATTACCCTAATCTCGCGCCGATTGCAGTTTCCGGCTACCCAGACGTGGGGCATCCTCTTTGGAGCCGTCCGTTCCGTCTGGGCCCAGTCGCGGCTGCTCATCGCGGTGGCCATATTGTGTGTGGCAAAGAGATTTTGCCACGTTTTTCCCAGCTCGCACGGCTCATCGAGGGGCGGCCGCGAGCTGATTGGTCCAGACAACTGACTGTCAGCTTGCTAGTGCACCCCAGCGGCCATTCCTGAGGGAACACTCGGTAAGCTGACAGCTCAGTTTTGTTCTGTGCCTTGCCTTCAATTATTCTGCCTATCAGTGCAGTGTGTGATTAGACACTGTTTATTGTGACAGGCAAGTAACTGCTTCAACTGTTATTTTCTCACTTCTGTACTGTGTAGCCTGTTTAGTTACCTCTTGCTAGTAACATGCAGATCCCTAAAGAATACCCAAACACTACCCCCACTCTGGCTGAGAGTGTCTCCAGACACCCTTTAACCACTGAACCTGGGCTCCTACTCAGCCAAGGGAAAGAGGTAACCCCTATGGAGCAATTGAACTTGAAATTGAATTGAGTTCCATTCACTCCTAGATGCTACCATGACCAAATCGGTCACCCAGGCCATCTATTCCGCAGTGGGGACAATGTCGGATACTATATCCCACTTCATCACTAACGCCATAATGGCGTCTAACTGTAACCCTGAGGTGTCCCGCCCTAAGGCCTCTGAAAATAAGCCAATAGCACAGGGCGGCCGTAAAGCCACCGCAAAGACCCACCATGTGGGTGTGCATGCTTCCAAAACTGATTTTACGGACAGGTTGCATCCTGTCAATATTGAGGTCGTGGGGCCCCCACGAAAAAGAGCCACCCGCCAAGCAAAAGCGGCACAGACATGGAAAAGGGCAAAAGCCTTAACAGACTCGTCCGACTCGGATTCGGAGGAGGTATTGGATGAGTCCGACGAGATCGGCTTCAATGAATCAGAGGTTTCCTCCCCGTGCCAGAGCCCAACACGCAAAGCAAGCATAACCACTGTAGAGAGCGCGGATACATACGCTATCCTTTGCAGAACCCGAGGTCGGCAGAATGGTTCCCGACCAAACATGTAGCACGCTATATAGCGGCCAGGATCAGGAAATCCCTGGATAAGGCCACAAGGAACAAACTTAGGGCGGAATGCCCGCGCCCTACGTCCCCGACATGGCTTGCACCACGCCGGACATAGACCCCAAAGTGGCCCAATATTTGGGGAAATCTGGCTGGAAGGCAAAAAAGGGGCTTGACTACTCCTTACGCCACTGCCAGGACAAGGTGTTAGGCCCCAGTGCAAAAATCTTTGAAATGTCGAAGCAGCCTTAACCGATGGGACCCCAATTGACCTTCTGGCCATTAGAGGTTGGGTCCAACGCTCCATATGCCTTATTGGCAATGCAAATGCAGCTCTAGCTACGGAGCGAAGAAAGGCCACCCTCATGAAAATTGTACCTTAACCTGGTGAATATGGCCATATCTGAGCCTGGGCCACAGGCAAAAGGATTTCTCTTCGGAGATAACTTCGTAAAGGAATTGGGCAACTACGTCAATACCTTTACGGCGTTAGACAAGGCACAAACAAACTTAAAAAGAGTGTTCTCCCCAAAAATTTTTGGTGGGGCCGGCAGACACAGGGGCCATCTGTCCGGCCGCTCTTCCCGAGGTTCATACCAGGGATACCGAGGCCCTGCCACACCTAGATTTCATCCTCCAGAGAACAAGCCCCCTTCATCCTTCTTCCCGGTCAGGGGCAGATCGTGGCAGTCACGAGGGACCAGGAGCATCTCGTATGGTCGACGGCCTTATGATAAGTGTCCTATCACCCCCTTCCCCGTGTATGTCTATAGTGGGGGGCAGACTGTCTCACTTTGTAGAAGCCTGGCGCACACTAACGACAGATGTTTGGGTCCTACACACAATCTTAGGTTACCAAATCGAATTTATACAACACTCTGTCCAAACCTCCAGACCACATCGGATAGCCTTCTCCACACATGACAGGACCCTGGTAAGCAAGGAAATCCTTGCGCTGCACAAGAAGGGCGCGATCTATCAGGTCCCGCCATATTCTCACGGCTTCGAGAGCAACTTCTTTCTAGTGCCCAAGAAAAGCGCGGGGGGGTTCGACCGGTCATCAACCTACGCCCCCTAAACGCATTCGTGCGATACCACCATTTCAAAATGGAGGGGATCCATTGCCTTCGGGACCTCCTCAGATTGGAGGACTGCATGGTCAAACTAGACCTACAAGACGCCTACCTTACAATCCCCATTGCCAAAGACTGTCAACACCTTCTCCAATTCCAATGGGAGGGGACGACGTGTAGATTCCAAGCCCTCCCCTTTGGACTATCATCGGCCCCGTGGTGCTTCACCAAACTGCTGAAGCCCGTGGTGGCTCTCCTACGCAGCAGAGGTGTACGGATGATCATATATCTGGACGATATGCTGATCATGGCACACGACACCCAACTTTTTCGACAACACCTCTCCTGGGCACTGGCCCTCCTACAAAATTTGGGATTTTTAATCAATTGGAAAAAGTCAATATTGACTCCATCCCAGACCATGGAATTCCTGGGATTCAACATAGACGCGACAAAAGGAACACTCAGCCTACCGACCATGAAGGTCAAGAGCATCCACAGGACATTGGCACACCCAATATTAACCTTACGGCAATTGGCCAGGATAATCGCCTCCTCTCAGCCTCCATCCAGGCAATTTTCCCGGGACCTCTCCACTGCAGGGCCCTTCAAAGGCCACACATTTACGCTTGGGGCACTCATACTCCGACTCCGTTCCTCTCGACCACGAAGCCAAACAGGAACTCACGTGGTGGCTCCAGCACATGGAAGCATGGAACGGCAGAGCAATCTTCGGATCCGCACTGGACTTCATCATAGAGTCCGATACGAGTACACACAGTTGGGGAGCGCGCTGAGGGCCTATCTCCACTGGAGAAATATGCTCATTCTCATAAAAAGAACTGCACATCAACGGCCTGGAACTCATGGCAGGTTCATTTGCCCTGAAGAGCCTCCTCTGAGCCACGACCAACTGCTCAATCGTTCTACGAATGGACAATATTTCGGCAGTCCGCTACATCAACCACCTGGGTGGCACGAGATCACGGATCCTTATGGAACTGGCCAAAGAGTTTTGGCAATACTGCCTGGATCGCAATATTTCGGTCCAGGCGGAATATATTCCTGGCCTGTCCAATATAGTAGCGGATTGGAACTCCAGACATCTGCGAGATGCCAGCGATTGGCGACTGGACTGCAACACATTCCTACAACTTCAAACGCTCTGGGGTCCGATGTCCATCGACCTTTATGCATCTCGTCTGAACTTCCAGTTACCAACGTTCTTCAGCTGGAGACCAGACCCAGACGCTTTAGCAATGGATGCCTTTCTCCAGCACTGGCCGAGGGATCGTTTATATGCATTTCCACCTTTCGCCCTCATGGCACGGACACTAGTGCATCTCAAACGAAACCGGACATCATTGGTCCTCATAACTCCTTTCTGGACTGCTCAACCTTGGTTTCCATCCCTCATGGAGATGTCCATCAACCTTCCGAGATTGCTTCCCTATGTCTCACACCTTTTACTGGATCCAGAAGGCAACCCACACCCCATCTAATTCAGGGGAACCTCAGACTTTTGGCATGGCTCCTCTTCGGGGACTCTGGGGTATACCAGATGTTCCACAGGACACTCTCGACCTACTGGCAGGAGCATGGGCACCTGGAACGAGACGATCATACCAATATGCCTGGAATGGCTGGAGTAGTTGGTGCATGGAACAACAGGTGGATCCCGTACAGGCTCCTGTGAATTACCTATTACGTTTCCTTACCAATCTATATAACCAAGGTTTGGCTTACCGTACCATTAACGTCTACAGATCAGCAATCTATGCCGTGGATACATCTATGTATGGTGCTCACTATACTAGAGAGGCCATGGCTTCAATGGTTTTCAATTTGGGCTGCAGATTAGAAGACCTTCTTAGAACTGCAGATTGGACCCGTGAATCTATGTTTAAAGAACACTATTTTAGACCAACAGAACATGTAATAAAGTTCTGGTAACTTGAATTTCAAATTGCAAAGTTTAGCACAAACGAGGTACATTGGAAAAAATCTCACATTCAGATAATTTGGATATGTGTGTTTGGTTTGGAGATTTAACCACTCAACAATTATCAACCATCTCACACAAAAGAATTGGTCTCATAAAAGACTTCTATCACTTAATGGGACACTATATTCACCAGAACAACTACACATTAATGTAATTGTTCTGGTGAGTATACTCCGTCCCTGCAGCCTCTTTGCTGTAAATAATATCTTTTCAGAGGTAGTGCTTACATTGCTTCCTAGGGACACCTCCATTGACTACTCCTCTGATGGCCACCTGAGGTGCTTCCTGGGGCAGAACTACACAGCTACATGCTCTGCATGGAGACACTGAACTTTTATGAGATACTGATTGGCCAAGCTGGCATTTGGCCCTGCCCCCGCCTCCTTGATAATTTCAGCCAATCAATGCTTTTCCTATGTGAAAGCATTGGATTGGCTGAGATAATCAGTTCTGGTGATATCAGCCAAGGAGGCGGATCGGAGGTGGTGCCAGTTACCTTTTAAAAAAAATAAATTTATTTTTGTTGTTCTTGAGCATAGCAGAAAATGTACATTATACACTGAAAAAATTGCAAAGAAATTATTTGTCAATGTAAATGAGTGTACATATGTATCAGATAAACAAAAGGAGAAATGAGTGTCCTAACCAATTAAAATATAACTTTTAATGATAATACTAAAATCTAGTGAAAGTAACTTAATAGAAATAATATTCTAATATTCATAGGTATATTAATAGACCAATAGATATATATCATTGCACAATCTGCTAGTAGTAACCTTTAGCTACAGTAATGTGTATACATGAAAATACACCAAACAATGTAATAAAGTGCAGTATTCTCTAGAGAAGGTTTCTGAAAACTTTTGAACAGAACCTCCCAATGACTATATATATTGTTATCCACTATTAGTTATTTTCTTGCACCATCTGTGTTTAGGACTTCAAACCTGGATTTTTCACATTTGAGTTATAAATATAGTTCATTGCTCTGTATATACCGTATATACTCGAGTATAAGTCGACCTGAATATAAGCCGAGGCCCCTAATTTTACCACAAAAAACTGGGGAAACGTACAGGGAGTGCAGAATTATTAGGCAAATGAGTATTTTGACCACATCATCCTCTTTATGCATGTTGTCTTACTCCAAGCTGTATAGGCTCGAAAGCCTACTACCAATTAAGCATATTAGGTGATGTGCATCTCTGTAATGAGAAGGTGTGTGGTCTAATGACATCAACACCCTATATCAGGTGTGCATAATTATTAGGCAACTTCCTTTCCTTTGGCAAAATGGGTCAAAAGAAGGACTTGACAGGCCCAGAAAAGTCAAAAATAGTGAGATATCTTGCAGAGGGATGCAGCACTCTTAAAATTGCAAAGCTTCTGAAGCATGATCATCGAACAATCAAGCGTTTCATTCAAAATAGTCAACAGGGTCGCAAGAAGTGTGTGGAAAAACCAAGGCGCAAAATAACTGCCCATGAACTGAGAAAAGTCAAGCGTGCAGCTGCCACGATGCCACTTGCCACCTGTTTGGCCATATTTCAGAGCTGCAACATCACTGGAGTGCCCAAAAGCACAAGGTGTGCAATACTCAGAGACATGGCTAAGGTAAGAAAGGCTGAAAGACGACCACCACTGAACAAGACACACAAGCTGAAACGTCAAGACTGGGCCAAGAAATATCTCAAGACTGATTTTTCTAAGGTTTTATGGACTGATGAAATGAGAGTGAGTCTGGATGGGCCAGATGGATGGGCCCGTGGCTGGATTGGTAAAGGGCAGAGAGCTCCAGTCCGACTCAGACGCCAGCAAGGTGGAGGTGGAGTACTGGTTTGGGCTGGTATCATCAAAGATGAGCTTGTGGGGCCTTTTCGGGTTGAGGATGGAGTCAAGCTCAACTCCCAGTCCTACTGCC